CGCTGTCGGGGGTTCGCAGGGAAAGATTTGCCTTGCCGAACAAATTCTACTGTTTGTTAGTGTGTAGGTCACTGCCCTTGGTCGAACGTTTATGCCGCCATATAGTGTATGGCAGTCGTAACCAGGATGTGGCTTTGTTCCACGAAGGCTCTTGCATTTACACTACTTCTACATCTACACCAAGCTCGTCAGCTCGGGAAAGCGAAATGTCATGTGTTGGGCCTCCCCTACCTGCGTTGATCGACATAAAATTTATCGTAGGTTGGAGGCTGGAAGGAACCCGTGAGGGGCCCTCAGGAAGATTCAACAGGATTCGTGGTTCCTGTGACCGTGGCGTTGAAGGTGACGTCGGTCATCAGAACTTCGAACCTGTTGTCCGATTTCTCTGCTCCGGGCTAGACTTGGATCTACCTGGCGGCTGCTTGAGCTACTCCCTTTGAACGAAGGACAGCAGCTTTAGCTCTCACAACTGCCGCTAGCTCGCGTTGCCTAGTGTTGGAAATTCAGACTCTATGTGTCTGAAGTTTCTATGATTGGAACAACTAAGATTCTCACACATGACTCATGACCTAGATGATTGATATCTCCCTTACTGAGCATGTTTGATGCTTGAGACTCGACTAGTGCATGGTATGGTCTGATACACGTGTAGGCTTTCATCCACCGACCCTGACCCCATACTCATATTGCATACTGTCGTGCGTTTCATTGTCATTGTTAGAGTATAGAACGAGTGATGGATGGTATCTAGTCTGGATTTGGTCTATCAAGATTACATGTATATAAGCTGTCTAGGAATCACTAAGACAGATAATCTAATCAATTCAATTTATTCAAACCATCTTTTATTTCTCCACAGTTTATCACATATTCTCCCGATTCATATCATTATTATTCTATTCATAAAATCGCGCCCGTATTCTTTGAGCCGCCTTACTCATCGAACCCATACCTGTTTTCCAACACCTAGCCATGCGAATGGTGGTCAGTTGCTCTCTACTTATCGGCCTGGAATTTGTGGGGCGCGCCAAGCAGACTCGAACGTCGAGCCTGTACGGTCCTCCGCAGTTGCGGCACTTGGTATGCGCATGACACTCGTCCGTCGAGTGCATTGTGGAGGCGCAGTTCCAGCAAGCTGGAGCTCGAGGGCAACCACGCATGCCATGGAGCTGCAGGCAGCGTTTGCATTGCTGCGCAGTCTGTCGTGGTTAATGTCGGACCGCGACGCCCGAGTCGTCAAACAGGCGAAATGCTAGTCTTAGTTCTACTCCTTTCTTGAAATTGGCGAGTCATGACTAGTATAGCGCGTCGGTGTGATTTTCCTGTGGGGCCAAACCTTGATTGGAACGGCTTTTGTAACTCTAATGATCTCCTCGATCACCATCTCTTCCATCACTGGCACCCTTCCGAGAAGAGTGTGGATGGCGACGGGGACCGTCGAGATCCGGAGTACCACAAGGTTGGAGGTCTCCTCCAGTCGTCCTCCGAAGGAATGGAAAGGTTCCGCGGCGTTCAATGGGAGCTGGCGAGATTCCTGGTCCTTCGCTCGGAGGGCGAAACCAGTTGGGACACGGTAGACGTGCTCAATGGCTGCATGTGACGCGTTAGTAAGCTGCGCTATAGCTTCTCTGATGCCAGCTGGCGAAATCTTTCGCCACTGGTGTTTTAAGCCTAGCCGGAGGAACGGTCGGTTGTCCGGCGAGGACGAAGGAGCCGTCTTGGCCGATTTCTTGGTCGGTGGAGTCGTCATTTTTGGGGCACGACTAGCCATCACTGGCGTTGGCTGATTAGGTAGCTTTCTCCGGGCTATAGATGCCCAGGTTGACGTTAACTGGGGCACCTCTACGGCAGACCTTGCTGGTCGGTAGGGCGGGGAGGGAAGCTTGTCGGTACTGGTGTAGTTCTAGTGAGTAGGCATTGGGCGAGGGCACCCCTTAGGCAGACGTTCATAGCGTCCAAGTATTCCTTGTTATCCGTCGTTTCCAGTGACAGGATAATGCTTTCAAGGGTTTTCAGCACCGTTGAGCCTATTGCGAGCCTGGTGGAGGCGTTTGCAGTCCGCTTCTTTTCGACTTCTATCAAAGCTTCGATTTCCGACGGGTGTTATTGTGCCGTACCAGTGGTGGCACCATCAGCAGAGTTTTTGTCGCGCCCCGTCGTCCATGGAATTGCGACCGGTGGTGGTGGAGGTCTGGAGGCATTTGCTGCCTCTGTGTTGACGGGGACTTCCGTTCTCCTCGGTATGTTCGCGTTTGACGTCCGCTTTGCCACCGGAACCGCAATTTTTGGAGCCGCGACGTGTGTGGATTTGGTTGTTGTTTTTGCCGAGACTACTTTCTCGACGACATTTTGTGGTGCAGTCGGTGTCTTGTGGGAGCTCTCCGCTCCCGCAACTGCCCATCTCGAGTTCTTTAGACCCTTAATAATCGTGTCCTTAATTATATCATTGACCTCTTACATAACAATATCGGTTTGACCGCGTTCTACCATCTGCGCGACAATGTCGACTTCCATCGTGTTGAGATGGGTGGCGCTCGGTGACAGTCCTCTTTCTTTCATTTAATAATTGACTACGTTTCTTGCTATTCGTAGCATATTCCTTTGCGCCTCTTGACGCGTCAGCTGGTTGTATTTCCCTATTTTTGAGGTTGACACAGTTTTCGCGTATTTCGCGGATTTTGAGGGTACCAGTGCCATTTTAAGGCTGAGTGGCGCGGTAGCACGAGAGATTGATGTAGAGATGTACGATATGTGAATTTATGGGGTGGAATGGGTAGATAGAGCAAACTTTCATCAATTTCTCGGACTGTGAGCAGCATGAGACATGGGTTGTTGATATAGGACGAGTGGCATGGCTGCTCAATTGGGAGTGTGGGTTCTGTGTCCTGTGACTTAGGATCGCCCACATTCTTGGACATAACACTCGTTACTAGAAGTAAGACTTTTAATGAAGAAAATTGTTTCTTGCCTATTCCCTTCGTTCAGCTACAAGTGTTATGTTCAAGAATGTGGGCGACCCTAAGTCACGGGACCCGTTCAGCCTTTGTCTCCAAATGCTAGTCCTCTAGCCATCGTCCATAACATAACAATAGACAATCTAGATGCGTGAGCTAGATGAATAAGAAAAACAAGAAAATTAAGTTTAATCTGAGAATCGCTTAAAACATCAATTGCCACCTTTAACACCACATGTTACGGTTTGACCATTGTTTGAGCTTAGGTGGATACCTCAGCCTGTTACTAAGAATTCTTACTATGAGGCTGTATGAGGGGGAGATGAAGCTGAAAGAAACGCGACTACTACTCAGGAGGCTGAAGCGTTATTACAACTTAGTGACACCTGGAAATACGTGGCTGGGTAAGAAATATTGTGCCCAAGGACAAGTCACTAGTCTGTAGATTCACGAGGAGGATTAACTCCTATAAATACCTGTTAGTAGTAGCTAGAGTTAGCTGTTCTCCTCATATCGTTTATTAAATCGATTTATTCATCACCAACTCGGTTTCCGTCACACCACAAAACAAAACGCCAGGGTATCAAAAAACATTCTATGTGTTACTCTCCTCGTTAGGCTCCGAGTCCTCCAACTGCATCTAATAATCGCTGTCCATCTCTATTCAGTTCTTGAGGCGATGCAAACCATAAGCTTCGGACTGGATAGCTATCTTTGGTATAGGCCGGAAACAAGCTATCGTCATTATAGGTGTTCTCTAGCTTGATGCCGCCGGGAGATCTTAGTATATAATTATTCCCATGGCGACATGCTGATACACACCAAGGATCGTCATAACATGGCTCTGTTTTATTACCACGTTGCCGGACTCGTAGTACCCAATCATCAGTACCATAAGTGCGAATCAAAGCCTTTTTCTCCTGTAGATATGCTCTTGTTTCATCTCTTGCTGCCTTCAAGGGGGATGCGTACGACCTAGCTATTGGTGCTGCATGCGACAGTACTAATTCTTCTGTCCATTGTAATTCCTCTTGTGATGGATGTTCTCGTTGACAAGGGGAATATTGAGGTCTAGTGGGATTGTCCATGGGTAAAGGGCCGTAGGTTAGGTAGTAAAGATAATAGCCATTAGGTGACTTTGGTCGGTTATGGAGATATAAAGCTTTGTCTAGGTATTCTTGAATCGGTCTACCTGGTTAATCCATTGCTAGCTTGATTATTATCGATTTTATCTTCCTATTAGCCGGCTCCACCTTGCCATTACCATGTGGTCAATTAGGCGTGATTGAGTGAATCTTCGTGCCGTTAGATTTATGCCATGCCACTGCTTCTGCGCTTTGAAATACTCCAACATTATTAGTTATTATCTCCATAGGCGCGCAGAATTGATTCTTGACGAACGTGCAAAGGGGGATTGTATCTTTAAACTTAAGTCCCTTTGTCCACATGCTTACTAGCTAGCCTGTTGAGTATTCAATTGCGTCTAGGAGCATGGAGCCAAATATCGGAGCTGTAAAATCGATTGCCCATCTGGTGAAATGTTTGGTAAGGTCTTGTCTGGAGGCCTCATTAACTGGCAGTTTGCAGGTGCGTGTAGCTTCATGCGCCGCAAGGATAAGCTCCGGGTGCCAGAAAACTTCGCTCAAAACTCGCATTGTCATTCCAATTGATGCATTTGTGACGAAACCAAGCTGGTTGTAGTGTACTTTTTAGAAAGATTAAACTATATGAAGAGAGAAGTACCACAACTACGGGTAATGACTATTTGTACATACTTCTAGCTCATCCAGTACGTACTCCGTTGGTGAGAATAACATATTGCTCCGCCACTGCCCGTCGTCATCTTTGCCATCTAGCTGACTCTCTCACTTGGCAATTCTACTTCGCCGTCTAACATTCCTTCCTAGCTCCAACATAATGTGGCCAAGTTAAACTTAGTCGCTTGATACAAGATAATATGTAACACTCTCCCTAATACGCCCCCAAACTCCGCTTAGGTCTCCACCTAAGCTAAACCACGGTCAAACCGTAACAATTTCCAAGCCGCTAGTGTGTTTTCCTTGCTTCAGTGATTAGGTCTTCGATCTCAGGTACCTTGAGCATTTGTTTTGAACCAACTTTGTCTGGAAGTTTACGCAGATAATACAACGTATCATTATGGACTATAAAACTGCTCTTCATCCACTCTTCTGACAAATTATGAGGCAGTTTACTTTTCAGAATAAAGTATTCAAATATTGCTCGGAGATCGACACGGTTCAGATGATCAACGTTTTTGCCGTGCTTTGCTGTGTCCAGAGAAGGTTGAAATTCGTTGCCAGCATGGGTAAGTTCATTTTTTGTTGTTGAGGGTCTTGATATCCAATCCGCCATAAAATTAGTAGGCCCTTTTCGTACGTTGATATGAGCTCCGAAATGTTCAATGACATCTATAAACCGAAACCCTCACTTTCCATAAGAACATAGTTACAACTTGTAAATCTGGAAAGGAATGAATGTAGCTAATACCTTATATATAGACTCTAGGAGCCCTCTATAATCATTGACTAGGTTAGGACTATTATATAAATCAAATCAAAAAAATTATAAAAAAAATCTATAAACCGAATAATACTCGGGGGCTGTTCAATTTTTGTACGAAAGAGCTTTAACGACTCATGGTCAGTAAGAACAGTAACATCTCCACCCTCTAGCCAGTATCTCCAGTGCTGCAAAGCAAGAACAATAGCTAAGAGTTCTCTCTCTTGTGCTCCGTATCATTGCTGAGTAGGCGCTTATCGCTTCTAAAGTAGACCACTGGATATAAGACTGACTTTCCATTTGCAGTAAGCTTGGGCTTATATTGTGCTGCACCTACATCTCTCTGCGATGCATCAGTCTCTAGTATGCAACTTAAATTATAGTGAAACTTGACAATGACAGGAGTTGTAGTAATACAGTCTTTGAGTAGATTAAATGCAGCTAACTGCTTGTCATTCAATAACCTTTGGATTCTTTGGGCCACGGATTAGTTTATACAGCGGGCCAGCTTTCGCAGAGAAATGTTCTATCAGTATACGTAGGTAGCTAGCAGCTTGAATGAAACTTCCAACTTCGGTTGGAGTAGTTGGGATCGGGCGGTGTCGGATTGCGGATAATTTTGCTAAGTCTGCCTGGATGCCATCTTTTGAAATAATGAATCCGAGAAAAGTTCCTGTTGGTACAAACTAGCGGCATTTGGGAATATTGAGAACTAAACCGTAATCGCTGAGTCGCTTGAGAAACTTATGCACCCGTTCGGCGAGTTCTGTTAAAGTTTCTCCCCATATAGCAATATCATCTAGAAGCCCAGCCAAGAATTCTCGTAATTCACCTAGCATTTGTTCCACAAAGGCTTGAAAAGTTGCTAGTGGATTACACAAACCGAACGGCATGACTATCCATTCATAGATACCGAAAGGTGTGACAAACGCTGTTTTTCTCGATCCTGGGGATACATGCGGATGTACCAAAAACCATTCAGTAAATCTAGGAAACAGTAATAGTTGTACCCTGCAGCTCTCTCAATTTCTGCGTCTGCATTTGGGAGTGGATGGGCGTGTTTCTTAGTCTTTGCATTCACTGGTCTAAAATCACAACATATTCTCCAGACAATCTCATCTCTCCTTCTTTCAGGATTCTATACTGTCTTAGGACTTCTATCAGCATTTTTCTTTGGAGTTAACAGAGCCTGTGAAGCCCAAGAAGGTTTGCTCTTTTGCACAATCTTGCCTTCATATTGGCGTACAGACTGGCGTAGAGCTGCATCACCGGTGTCAGTTCGATGCATAACTGTAGCTAAATCTGAAGTATTACGAAGCGTTTCGTCGAAAACAACAGTAAATTCTTCGTTCCATCTGCCAATAATGTCATAAAATTTGGAATCTACATCGCGTAACTGGTAGATGACTTGTTCAATGGTAATGCAACAGCTCTCAAATGCAAATCTAGCTGACTTAGGTTTTTCTATCTTTTTTATGCATGGCTGACCTGGATGACCGCCAAGTCTTGCACTATTGTCAGTATTGAAGCCTAGTTGCATCTTGCGGAAGCCTGATTCGCCGATTGTGAGATCACCTGGGAATATATAATCGTCTACTATACCACAGGATATTTCGTATGATAGAGACCATCCTGACTGTAACTTGAAATTGAAGCATGTAATGACGTCTTTCGCAATAGTAGGACCGGTTAGGTCACTGATACTAGATAGCTTTGAAGGTAGACGTGTTTGGCAATGATGTAGTTTTTCCGAAGGACTTTTCGATACATAAAAAGCACTGCAGCCATAATCGAGGAAAGTGACGAAAGAATGTGATGACGTTTCCAAACGAGTTAGAAATTCTCCATGTGGCTTGCTTGCTCCCTCTCTCAGAGGCCTGATATTGAAGGGAGGCTCAGCATTACTCGATCTATTCATTACCATGCATTGACCAGATTCCGAATTTCACTCATTGTTTTCCTCCTCTTGATCTTGCTCCACAGACATCAGAATCTGCTCGATGAATACATCCACGTCGTCATCTCGCCAGTCTTCAGATGACGCGAGCCCTTCATCATCAATTTCAGGAGAGCCAGAGGTATAAGCTCGATTTTTATCTTTTCTATTTGTGATAGGCTATCTGGTAACCATCTTTTGGAGCTGAGATCGAACTCGTTGAGAGAATGCGCACGGTTTTTTCTCATGAAAAGGAGTTCCATTGATTGTGACCTGCTCTGATTTTGCCCCAGAACTCCCAGCTCCACTTGCAGTTCCTACAGTACGACCATCGTATGCTCCTATTTTTCTTTTGAGCACGATCTTTTGCTGTATGGTCCATTTTCCCACATTTATAACACTTCATATCTCCTGTACACATTGCTTTTTGATACAAACCCGTTGTTATATAAGCTTTTTGATAATCTTTTCTGGGATCAGAGATGGTGAGACCTGTGTTAGTTGCTAATGCGATGGTTTGGATAATTTGTGCTTTGCCTGTGGCTTCAGTTGTTGCCAAAGAGGTGTGATGCTCGTGCCAGCCTTTGAATAAATGGCCTGTTTAATTGGCATTTGCACAATGATACCAGCTTGTATGACCATTTCCTCCACTAATTTGGCAGTAGGTATTCTTATCTTCGGCTGAATTGCCGACCAAGCACTAGGTATGTATGTCTTAACGGCTTCGAATAACATATCCCGTACGGCAGAATCATAGTGAGATTGTCTCGGGAGTTCTTGGAAAATTAGCATATCCCTCATTCTGGAACGATGCTAACTGCGCAAACTGGACGATAGGGCATCTCATAGTTCCGTGCCGTTGCATGAGTTGAAATGTTGCTTCTAATGCTTGAGGTCATGAAGCAACAGTGTTGTCAATGAACTTTTGAATGACTTGAAAATCACCTTCAAGCATGAGAGAGAGTTTCACCGGCCACAAGTCATATGGAGTGGCAGATTGGAACAAGGCTAGCTGTATTTGTCGCAACTTGTGAAATATTGACACATCTGATGCTTGCACAAGTTTCCAAGAGTTATCTAAGAAGACTTTGAGCTTGTGAGCGCCATCAGGAAATCCCTTGACATGGATGCCTTTGCGTTTTAGGTCAGAGGCAATTTTTACTTCAGGCTAGATGCTCTTGACAAATTATTCACTTTCATTGTTGGTGTGTTTTGTCTCTGGGTGTTATGCTGAACGGTAAATATTGAGACTACTATCGAAGTTTCTCTGTTTCATCCATATTTAGTTGACCGTTATAGCGACCATAAACCTGCTTCTTGTTTAAGATGCCGCGAGCAGTAGGTTCATTAATGTAAATGGGATAAATCGTAAGATCTTGAATAATAGGGTTTTCCTGACAAAAATAATTATTTTTGTGGCTTCAAGTCTCGTATCTAATATAAAATGAGTCGTATAACGACTGCTTACAACTGTTACTAGAAGTAAGACTTTTAATGAAGTATATTGTTTCTTGTCTGCAACCTACTTCTAGCGGAGGGCAAGACTGAACACCTGTCAGTGGTGCTCTCTACGAACCTGGGAGTGAAATAATCTCCCAGAGCCAAGTTCAGTCAAATTTCGCAATACCGAACAAGTTGGCCCACGAGGCAATGATTCAAATAACTCCACCACGTCAAATTTTCATTCCAAAAAAGATCGAATCCTACCTAAGCCTCATCAAGTTTACAAGTACGACCTAGTACATCCTCATTTCAATAACCACACCTCTCGCCGACCTTCTCTGGCCTCAGCCGGTCACCAGATACACGCCCACGCCGATATTTACACCCGACGGAGGAAGCAAAGCGTGGCGCACAAATCTGGGAGACAGTTCTTTGGGATTGGCGTGAAAGAATTCAAGACAAGTTCACAAGATGATGCAGAGGATGGATACTGTCTCGACGGGCGTGAAATTTTGAATTTTGGAAAGGAGTTTTTACAAATTGAGCTTTGTGCGTGCCAAGTCTTCGGTTGCGAGAGTGCGGGCGATACTATAAAAACCGCCATGGTTGGATGGTGCGTTGGTACATCGTCTTGGTCGGTCTACCAAGTAGAGTCTGGATAGCTTGGACACATATCCCACTTGAGACAGTAGATCGCTGGTTCAAATCCGGCCAAATACAACCACATTTCTCGCGGCGCTGGTATGCATGGATGACGAAGGCATGCTTGGATAACCAAAGGTTTCGAAATTCCCTTTGGTGGGTACTAACGGAGGAGGGTCGACTGTTTGTGTAAGCAAGCATACCTCATAGTGGTATTTGCAAATGAAATCCAGAGCATGAATGCCTCTAACGTCATAAGAGTCATCCAACGTGTATACATAGCACCGGTCATGTGTCATAGCTTTGTAGCTGAATACACATTAAATGATAAAAAAAAAAAAAAACCTACTTCTAGCTTCTAGTGTTATATCCAAGAATGTGGGCGACCCTAAGTCACGGGATACGGGACCCATAGGGGCAAACTTAGGTGCGCTGCAAACTGGCTACGTAATCGGTTTACAAGCGAACTAGCTGGAGGGTAAGAGACGAGATTCATCCCACCTAATCATATCGATTGTCAGAGAGACTTCACTTCCACACACGCTGGCAAGAACAAATTCTTTACCTTCCAGTGGTGGCGGTATAATCGCTCAATATGCTCTGCATATCTTGCATAGCCAACAAGAATCGTATCCGAATC